ATCTTTTGAAGAATTAGATAACACTGGTGACTTATCATGGCCTAATGGAGAGTAAGGCTAGGTAATGACTGGACTGCGAGTTTCTCATGTGCCCTTTCTTGCTTTCACTTTGTATTTCTTGTAAGAAGAATTATGGCTGAAGAATAGAAAATGCTAGAACCAAGAGTGAGCAAGGATGCCACCTTAGGTATTTTTTACTGTAGGTCGTACCTACTGTGTATAGTATTGTGGCTGATTGATATACATATGAAATGCTAAATGATCAACTGGGCTTTCTGATAATTATAAAATGAGAAAGTTCAGAAAATAAAAATAACTCATGTTATTGACTAATTGTTCAATAGGGAAGCAATAGACTGTAAGAATTGTATGCTTCATATCAGTTAAAACTTTCTATACTGAACTTATACTAGGAAATATTCAAGAAGTCATATAGAACAAATTAATATTCTTTATCATCATAGGCATTGAGTACAAAAATGTTACAGTTGTACATGTATACACATATATATGGAAGCAAATTTTATAATAGCAAAATTGTGGAAGCAGCCCGTATGCCCATGAGGAGATGAATGGATAAAGACAACATGGTGTTTATACACAGCGGAGTGCTACTCTGCCGTAAAGACAAAGTTTCATAGGAAAAGGAATGCACCTTGAGACTGTACTGTTTAATGAGACACACAATCTTAAAGACGGCATTGCTCCCCTTATGTGAGAAACCTAAATCATAAAAAGGAACAAAATAAAAGATAGACAATAGGACATAGATCATTCTCAAATGGGAAGGGAATCAAGGAATGGAGGGAGGTGGGGAAGAACCGGCAGGGATGCAGATGTGCTGTGACAGCTCCATGCAAGAAAGTAAATATTATATACTGCAAACAAATACTAATGAAAACTTTAAAAATAAAAAGCAATTCATTTTCAATATACTTTTGGTCATATTATCTAAATGTCCTCTGGTCTATACGTACTACTATTGCAACTGTAAGTCTTCTTTAAAATGAAAATAAGATACAATTAGGGTTTCAAATATGGCTACAGAAAAGTTGACAGAGAGAGACAGAGAGAAAGAACACATAAAACTGTTTCTTTTGTGTTTTAGACAGAGAATCTCTCTTGTATACTACAAACATATTGAGTCTACCTGAATATACGAGAATGTCAGCATGCTTCATAGTAAAAAAAGGAGTATTTCTTAAAAATAGAAAATTCACATTTCAACTGACACTTATTTTCTTTATTTTTATTGGTACATGTTTGCAGTGCATAATTATTACATTCATTATAGGGAGTTGACACATGTAATAACCCACTTCAAAAAGAAGGTAGGTAAGATAGCAAGTGTCTCAAGTATACTTGGAAGTATAAAGTTCATATCTCAATACAATCCAAAATTCTGTCTGCATTAGAAGAAATTTTACATCTACTGTTCCACACCATCCATGGCATATTAGTTGCAAGAATCAAACAGTATCTTCTTACCCAGAGCACTGCCAGATATAGAACTTACATGAATGAAATCTTTGGTAAACTTTTAACTACATGAGTAAATGTTTCATTGAGTGAAAAATTTGGTGAAAGGGTAATCCACAGTTTGTTTACAGTCATTTACTTAGTATCTTTAAAAACAGAAAGTTTACCAAGAGCAAGCTTATATTCTTTGGAAGATCAACCAGTGACCACTCTGCTTCCATGTGAGGACTCTTGACACAACCTAGGTGAAGTGTACAGCTCCATATCAGGGGCACTGAAAACACCAGAATAGTGACCTTTGCCACTGCTAAGCACTTAAGAGCTGTCAATTCCATGCTACAAATCCTGGTAGTTTTACCTGGGAAAATTCATACCAAGACCAACGGTCTAACTTTTTTTGTAATTTCCTGAGATCACTGCAGTCGAGTTTGTGCTGATTTTTAAATAAGTTTATATTCTTATGTAATTTTATACACTATGAATTGATTGAGTTTCCTAAAACAATACATGGAGGTTTAGGATCGAACCCCAATAATTAAGAATGTATAATTTTGTAATTACTGTTGCTTATTTTACTTACTCTCTGGCCTTGTTTTTTTTGAGACTCTATCCTGAGCCCTTGTCACTATAGTTTTTCATGACTGCGTGATTAGAGTTGCTTTCCCATTCTTATTCACTTATGTCAGAGACCAGATTCCATGTGATTAGCAAGATATCTAAACATGTTGTAGTTATTGTTTTGTCAGTTAAACATATATATATAATTTAATTTTAAAGATGTAGAATAGATATTTTCAACAGTCATGAGAATATTTCATAGTTCAAGAAAGAGTTTAATGTATTTGACACATTTTTGAAAGCTGTGTCCACTCAGACTTAAAAACTTTATGAACTGAAGATATTGCTTCACCAGCAATAGCTGCCAATGCCAACAAACTTCACAACATATTTTATTTGAACTCTTTGGTATGCTTCTATCATAAATTCATAATTATTTTGGAACTTTAGTGCACTATTCAATTTCATAACCTTTTTAAAAAGTAAAGCATTCTCTTTAAAAGGATGATATAATATCAAATATATTCTAGTATAGAACTGTATAACTACATGAGGCTCTTTTGAAAATCTTTAAAAGCTATGGATAACAAAAAGTTACAAAAAAGAAAATCAAATTTACAAATAGGTAAACAATTTAATAATTTTTCTAATAGAAACATGGCTATTTTCCTTAATATCTAAAACTCATAATTCTATTTGCACAGTATAAAATAACCTAGTGAATGATTTCAATATTTAAAGACATGAAATAGTTGTATCATTCATAGAAAGTGATGACATTCTAGATTGATATTTTTTCAGTAAAATAAAATGAAAGGAGTAAACATTGCATTTGATCTGCTAACTTTCTCTGGTGGCATGTGCACTTCTCAGTCATCCAGGCTGTTCTGAGGGCCAGTCGCTGATTCCTTTGTCTGCACAAGAAACCAAGTAGGACAGATAAGCAGTAAAGCCCTCTCTGGTGATAGTGCCTCACAACAGCTACCTTTATTCAGACTCATTTCTATTGCGGTGGAAGGCATTTCGGTATATAATATTTTAATAAAACTAGTTAATAAGGCCAGGAAGTTTAAGGTTTATTGAATATAAAGGTGTTTTGATGAAAAGAAGGTATTTTTCCATTATGGAAATATATTATTTATTTTTGTATTTTAATTCACTTAATTTCTGTGCTTTAAAATATTTCATGTGATAATATTTTATTATGTGGTTATAGAGGCATATACTATTCTTGGTAAAATAATCACACAGATGGAAGTTTCTTAATTGTATTGTGCATATCCATTTTCATTTATGTTACATATTGCCTTCATTGAGGGATATGAAAGTTCTGTGTTTTCAGTACCATTCGTAAAATGTTGACAGTATAATATTGCAATTATAAGTAATATGTAGATATCTATAAAGGATGGACATGGATAGATAGATAGATGATAGATAGATAGATAGATAGATAGATAGATAGATAGACAGATGGATAAAGATTTTAGATAGCCAGATTCACAGATATCTTATAGAATAACTGCATAATTATGTTCCCTGGAAAAGATGATATTCATCAAACAAGAAAAAGATCAAGTGAGCATTTGGATTTAACTTATTTAACTTATATCTTCAAGACAACAAACCTTTTAGAAATAAATCTAAGTTTATTGACAACCACTGAAAATAGTAGGAACTGTGTAGTCCTCAGGTATCTCTTCCCCCAAACACATAGACTAATTGGTATGCTTAATATCAATGTGTTTAGTATTCATGCCTTTCATCACCACATTTTCTTTTCTTTCTCCCTCCTCCACCCACTTCTGTCCAGTACACAGTGTGGACTGCGCTCTGGATCACCTGGAATGTGTTCATCATCTGCTTTTATTTGGAAGTAGGTGGGCTCTCTAAGGTGAGTTTATTGTGCCTTTAAAGCACACTTTTTAAGGAGTGCATTGTAAATAATTATTATGTCTACATATTGTGAATATCTATATGGATTAGTGATTCAAAAAGAGTTTGGTTACCATTTATAGAAGAGCGATTTTAGGAACCTGCTAATATAAAGGACCTTCAAATCAATTGCCTCATACTTCTGTTCTTTATCCTTCAATGGAAATCTGCTTACAATGCATCCTCACGTCCACTCACAGAGGGCAATAATAGTGCAGTGACTTTAGTCCTAAATAGTAAGATAAAAATGACTTTGATTAAGATAAAAATTCAAAATGATTTTGAATTTTTTAAATTTAAAATAAGAAAAAGGCTGACACAAAATGAAATCCTTATGTACATAAGTAAAGCACATGTTTACTGAACATGTAAGTGCATTAGTGCGGTCACTACTATTCTGAAGTCCGGCTTGGACAGAAAGCAGTTATCTTAAGGCAGAGGCTGATGCACATTTACTATCCGCCCAGAACTGCCTCAAGAGTATATAACTTTCATCATGCCCTCTGCAAAAATGTCTTGATCATCATCCAAATGCGGACCTGATTTTCAGTCTCTAGTTGTGGTTCTCAAAAATTTGTCTTGTTAAGCAGCACAATTCTCTTGCAAAGAAGAAATTTACAGAGAAAAAAGTGAACAATATAAAGGCAGAATATAAAGCTTTTGTCATGTTTAGATATCTCATTATCAAGTGTAGTTGTGCTAGTTATTGTATTATCTTAAGACAATCTCGGATTATAAACAACATAGTAGTCTTTTTGAATTTTTGGTTTAGTTGTTAGAAAATTTATCTTGACGAGCATGGATGTTATTGGAATTGTTCAGTCCAGTGGAGTCCAGATGACAGCAAAGTATGTTGGATTCAGGCTAATAGCAAAAATTCTGGAAGACTTTCTTCCCTAGAACTTTCAAAAAAAGTTGTATTTTCCTCTATGCTGTAACTCTGAAATTAGAATCTGTCACTATTTTCTTACATTGACAAAAGTGTTCAGGAACCAGAAATGTTATTTCCAGTACTGATAGGTAGGTGATAATACATAGGTATTACCTTAAATATTTGTGATATTAAATATAACTTGACACTAATTTCTAAAAAAGAAAATGGCACCTCAATCTATGACCAGGTAATAGCTGCAAATGCAGATTATAAAGTAACTTTAAAATGTAAAGCTTATAGAAAATTATTATGAATAGTAAGTACTTTTTTAGTTTAATTCAATTTAATTTAATTTTGAAGAGTAAAAACAAAAGCAAAAACAAATAACAGAAACAGGGCAATGTACAGCAATACATATGTTACAGATTTTCAAAACAAGAATAACTAATTACCAATGGTTGTTCTATTATCTATTTTGACTGTCCAATCTGTTACTCAGATTAACAGAAATAGTTATGCAAGATTGGACAAAAAAATTGATCATTGACATTTGCTTTCAAGAAACCTTAATTTTTTCTTGTCTTTTTAAAGTTTATTTTATAGAGAGTATAATAATAATTGATAAGACACTAGAAATGGTACTCACTTAGAAGAACAAGATGAGAGATACTAAACGACGGTTTTTGTATTACACATTGCTGTCCTCAATGTAGTTGCTTAAACTGCAGATATCAGCATACGGAGTTAGTCGAAGTGAAAATTCTAAACATTAACTGCTATTTTAAAAAAAGCTGATGGAAATTCTTAGTACAATTATCTCAGTCATCCTGTATATATACTTGCATGTTTCCCCCCTTCCATTTTTCCTATCTTTTCTCCTCTCTGATCTTCTTTTTTTAATCTTTAAATTCAGCTTTTTTCCATTTTACTGTATCTGTTATACCTTTTGGGTTTTATCTAGTCCTTAGCATTTTCTCACTTGTAATTTAGTCATTTTAATTCATGATTTTATTTCACTGCATAAAGTATATTTTTTTAATTTGGAATAGATTAGATTGGAGAAAATTTGTCCTGTGGAATTGTCATCATTGTGTGTTGATGAAGGCTAAATTTTAAGTCATAAATCTTAAGCTCAACTCTTGTCTTCAGCATTTATTCATTGTGGACTATTAGCAAATCACTTAACCCTGCAGAGTATATATGGACTAGCAGGGCCAACTTTGCTAATAATGTTATCAGTAAATGTTTGTTGACTGTTAACACTTTATGTTCATTATATATGATAATTCATGTAAGCTCAAAACAACATAAAAATGAAAATCAATAGCTGTAGCCACTTGTTTCACCTAATTGTGATTTCTCACATTGCTGTTATTTTTTTGAGCTGCTTTTTAGAACTGCCTTTCTAATATCAATGTGCATGGTAAGGGTTTTTCCCCCTCATTTATTTGGATAGAAGTTTAAAAATATGCATGTAGCAAACCTGGTTACTCATTTTATTACTTATTCAAATACGATTAAGAAATCGCACAAGATTTTTTTTTTTTTTTACTGTATTTGGTATAAGAGCTACAGGGTCTACAGGGTCTCACTACATAGGTCGGAATCGTAGTGATCTTTTTGTCTTCAGCTTACCAAGTGCTGGGATTACAGACATGCGCCACCATGCCCAGTCTCAATTGCCTTCTCAGCATGCCCTGGGGGTGGGGCCAGCAGGGCATGCCGGGGATCGAACCCCAGAAGCTTCACACACACAAGCATCATTAAAAAGAGATGACTCCAACCAGAGAGTGTTTGTTGACCTTTTCACAGCTTCTAAGAATGCAAACATCTCCCTAGCTAGCCACAGTTCAGCCTTAGTAGGAGTCTGTAAAAAATGCAGTCTGAAAAAATTAGAACATAGTTAAAGATCTGTGACAAACACACATACCTATGCCACTCTTCCAGGTTGGATTCCACTGTGTGAGAAATACCTCCTGTACATGTGCTAGTTTTATATTAACTTTCTAGAGCTCCCCATCTATTGCGATTTTACAATGAATTTCTTAGAATTACCCCATTGGATAGATTACTCTAAGCCATTTTATACTTTGAAATTTTCACAAGCACATAATTTGGAATGTTGAATTTTTCTACAAGGATTGCATTCAGGATAAAATCCAGACCATGTATGTGAATTTGGGAACCATTCATGTGACATACGTAGCCTAAACCTGGTCTGGTTGTGCCCCACAGTGCTCTGTTGCTAACAGTTTGCACCTGCAGAGTGAAAACAGTCCCGATTTGTCTGAGAGGCAGTGAGCAGTGTGATAGGCAGCTGAGCATGCAGCCAGATCCTGGAAATGCTTAGAAGACCGATGGACTTGTGCTCTTGTGCTTTAAAAGCTTCTTATAAGACAAATATTGATGAATGCAGTCTACATAAGCAAAAACTCTTTGGTGTATTTATTAACTTTTATGAGTGTGAACGTGTTCTGAGACCAAAAAGTTTGAGAATCATTGTTCTAGAGTCATCAGTATAAATAAATAATGCATAAAATGTGCAAACAATGAAAAACCAAAGCACGTGGTACGAAGAAACCAAATACTAATATGGTAGCATAAAAACAGCTGCATTGATAGGTACATGAGGTGCAAACAGACTGAACACTCCGATTGAAGACAGAAGTTAGAGCACTGCATTTTTGAAAAGACAATACCCAGTGCTATTAATATCAAACAGACTTTATAAATGCATACATGTACTGAAATAAGGAGGATGCGAGATATGTGCTGTACAAATATTAATCAGAAGAAAATCTCTGCGGCCATATCAGTATGAGAAATAAGGTAGGCCTCCAGTCAAGGACTACTGATGCAGATAAAGTAGATGTTTCATGATAAAAACAAGGTCAATATATCAAAATAGACATAATAAATATAAACCATATCAAACAGAAAAGTCTTAGGGCGTGCAAAGCAAAAATTGATAATATTAAAGGGAGAAATTCACAAATCTACAAAGATAGGTGGAGAATTTATGACTCCATTTTTCATTGCTGATAGAAAAAGTAGGCATATTCATAAAACTAATATTTGGACAGCACTCTCAATGAAATTGTCATGCACAGAACATTATACTCAGAACCAAATATACATATATATATATATATATATATTCAAATGCATAAGGAATGATAATTAAAAATGTATTTTATATCAAAAGAAAAATATCAATAAATATCTGATTATTGAAATAGTACAAAAACTACATGCTAGAAACACACACATAATAAGCAATAATTTGAAATTTACAGTATTAAAATTGCTAGAAAACCTGTATCTATTTGTATGGGAAAGTAGACAATGTTTAGTAAGTTGAAGAAATTCAAGGGAAATTTAAAAGCTTATTGAAGTACACATAGAAAAAAACACAACAAATTAATATTTATGGATGAATTGGAAGCAAAGCTCAGACAAAAATGTAGCTTTAAATAGATATTTTAAAAGAAGAAAATTTAAAAATCAGCAATACAATCTTTCACCAACATAAATAAAATATAGGCAGTGTATGTGTAGTTGTGCTGTAATAGAGTGTGCATTTGAAAGACATAAAATGCCACCTACTAGTCACACTGATCAAGGAAAAAGAAAAACAATAATAATTATCAATTTAAGTAAAGAAAGAAAAACCATCAATACAGATGCTATGGATGCTGAAACATTAGCAGAAAAAACAAAACACTTTATTTCAATAATTTTGACAAACAAAATGAGATGAACAAATTCCTTTACAGAATAGTTTCCCAAAGCTAGCATAACCAAAAATAGCAAATATGGACGGCCATAAATTTATAATTAAAAACGTTTCTATAAAGAAAATTTCAAGTACGGATACTTATAAGGGTGGATCAATCAAACATGTAAGAAAGAATTTCTTTTATTTTTGTGGCGGAACTGGAGATTGAGCTCAGGCCCTTGTGCTTGCTAGGCAAGGGTTTAATCTACTAGGCTATTTCCCCCGTCTCAAGAAAGAATTAACGATAACTTTGCCCAAACTCTTATAGAAATAGAGCATGAAACAATATTTCCCAAATAATCTTATT